CAGCAGTGGAGAGAGAGAGCGCAAGAGCAGCACGACTCGGACGTCACCGGGCGTCACCGAACGTCGTGCCAACTCGTCATCCAGCAGTGGAGAGAGAGAGAGAGCGCAAGAGCAGCACGACTCGGACGTCACCGGGCTGTCACCGAGCGTCGTGCCAACTCGTCATCCACGCAGTGGAGAGAGAGAGAGCGCTAAGAGCAGCACGACTCGGACGTCACCGGGCGTCACCGAGCGTCGTGCCAACTCGTCATCTAGCAGTAGAGAGATGAGGAGCGCAAGAGCAGCACGACTCGGACGTCAACCGGGCGTCACCGAGCGTCGTGACAACTCGTCATCCAGCAGTGGAGAGAGAGGAGGAGAGCGCAAGAGCAGCACGACTCGGACGTCACCGGGCGTCACCGAGCGCCGTGCCAACTCGTCATCCAGCAGTGGAGAGAGAGAGAGCGCAAGAGCAGCACGACTCGGACGTCACCGGGCGTCACCGAGCGTCGTGCCAACTCGTCATCTAGCAGTAGAGGGAGATGAGAGAGCGCAAGAGCAGCACGACTCGGACGTCACCGGGCGTCACCGAGCGTCGTGCAAACTCGTCATCCAGCAGTGGAGAGAGAGAGAGCGCAAGAGCAGCACGACTCGGACGTCACAAGCAGAGACACGCAAGAGAGGCTCGCGGCGGCCACGCCCAACCAGAGAAAACTTCTGGCTGCTGTTTGTATCCTCCTACACCACACAAGCTAACGACACAATTAATATTACGAGGGGACAACGCACACACAGCACGCACACGAATAAGACTTTTAAAAAAAATTATCTTTGCGTTTCAAAAAGGGTTGCCATTCGAGGTGGTGCGTTCAATATCAACTGATCGTGCAAAGCAGTTGCTGCCGTCGAGTTACATGAATAAGAATGTTTTAGTCATCATTTCGTTAACTGCATAATTTCGCCAATGAATAAGTATTTTTAAATCCTTTATATTAAGTTCACTTGCTTGCTTGCTTGCGCGCTTACGACCGTGCAAATCTTTCGGTCGTTTTTTAACCCACTTCCCGTGATCCAATCGAGCTGACATTTTGCACACAGACTCGTTGTGCGTGACAATTTATTTTCGTGAAACATTTTTTCCAAAATTTTCCACTTTTAGGAAATCATATATTTTTCCTAAACACAGAAAATATTCAAGAAAACAACAAAAATGTTACATAATAACAATCATACAAAAACTGAAAACTTATAAGCCTTATATACGACTTTCCTTATATTTAATTTAAAATACCAATGTGATAAAATGAAACTCTTACTCAAGAAAAACAGAAATGAATAAAAATAAAACCGATGCCACGCATATAAAGGCTTATAGTGCAAAACTTTGGTTTAACGGGTTAATTTTTTAGTCATCCATTTTCGTTAATTGCATAACGAGTTACATGAATTTATTGACGTATACCTGCTTTCGCATAAGAGAGTGTCATGGGCTTGTTTAGAATTAAAATTGCTTAACACCAACTGTTCGAGTGCTTCTTTCCAAGTCCATGCAAAATGTCTTATTCTTGATAACTGTATCCTGTGATGAGATCTGAACCTGGAGACCTAAAAATTCATAACACACACACTAGGATAATCGGTAAATAAATCTATGATGAACGTGTTATCCTGATTGATATAACTCTGGATAACGAAGCTAGCCTAATTATCACAACGGCACACATTAACATAATCGCAAGCATCCGCATAAATTACTACGATGTATCTCCGTGATTATCATAATTTATGCATATAATTACACACATATTATAATTTATGCATGTTAATACACACATTAACAAATTAGTGCGATTTGCGCATTTTTTGGAAAATTATTAATTTTATTATTTTTATCAAATTTCATAATTCCAACGCATCCAACAGATTTAACTACACTTATTTGGCCAATCTTATTTGAAACAACTATTACAGGTTATTGATAGACAGCCAGGCTTGTTTTACCATGTTTAGTTGTTTTCTCCTTTTCACACTATTGTTATGTAGGCCAGGTTTAGTCACAAACCGTACCTCTCCATAACTAAGGCTCACCCTCTTAAGCCTCACCTTACCATATGAATAAAACGTGTGCCGTACTTGGCCCTTCCCCCCTCTCCAACCATTATATATACGGAGTGGTAGCTCTTGCAATCTCTCATTTACTTGATACAGCTGTCGTGGCTGTGACGGTTCCACCTGAAGACGGAAGCTTGTGTTGCCTCCGAGACGTCGTGATTTTTATTTTATTTTACTTTAATGTTTTACCTACGTGACTTTACTGAAAAAACCTAAGAATATAGTTTTGATGTGGTTTCCTTATTCACCAAAGTTCCTGTACCTGACACCATCGCAATCATTGAAGACTTGGTTCAAAGGACTGAATACTGGGGTTCCCCCCCCTGGTGAGACACTGCTTAACCAATACATACTTCACCTGGAATGGAACTTTCTACAAACAAACTGAGGGCACCCCAATGGGCTCCCCCTATCTCCGGTTATAGCCAACGTGTTCATCGAGAAATTTGAGACTGACGCCATCCAGACTGCCACTCTACGCCCGACCTTATGGAAGAGGTACGTAGATGACACTTTTGTCATCTGGCCACATGGCTGTCCTGCTCTAGACCAATTCCTCGACCACATCAATTCCATACACCCAGCCATCAGATTCACCATGGAAGTCAAAAAAGATGGCAAGCTACCCTTTTTTGATGTCCTAATTAAAAGGAGACCTGATGGTTCAATGAGCCATTCTGTCTACAGGAAAGCCACCCATACGGATGCTTACCTAAAACCGGATTCCCACCACCATCCATCCCAGAAGAACTCCTCATCAAGACTCTATGCCATAGAGCCCAATGCATCTCCGACCAGGAACACATTGCCAGTGAACTCAAACACGTACGCCAAGCTCTTAAGGCAAATGGTTACTCCGACTACACAATCCGCAAAGCCATCACTCCAACCATCAAGAAGGATCCTGTTGAGGAGCCTTTCAAAACCATCACCTTACCCTACATTGCTGGGGTCACAAAAAGATCTCCAAAATTCGGATTAAACACAAGATCCAGGTCCGATTCAACACAGTACATAAAATCCGTGATCTGGTCCCGTCTGTAAAAGATGTGGTTCCAGACATACAGTACCCTGGCGTCTACAAACTAAGTTTCCTCTGTGGTAGCAGTTACATTAGAGAAACCAAACGACATGTCTCGGACCGCATCCGTGAACATAAAGCAGACCTGAAACACGGTAGGACAAATACCTCAGCCGTGGCAGATCACTGTTACAATTCAGTGGGCTCACATGACATTGACTTCTCCAAGACAGAGGTTCTCTGCAAGCCATCTGGCTACCACGAGAGATTCGTTCATGAAGCGATCCACATATACAAACACAGAGACAATTTCAACCGAGAAGATGCATTCTGGCTCAGCAATCATTGGAAGGACGTAATAAACCATTTCGGATCTTAACTGATTGTGTTCACGTTTACGGTGACTTTCAGACCGCAGTCCACTCACTGGCATTGACTATATCTTGTATTCTCCACAGGGAATGGATTCTTTGCTCCGCTGCAAGTCTTCTACCACCACTCTCCATTGACATATTTCGTTGCTTCCTCTTATCTTTCATGCGACGGTCAATGGTATAGTGTATAGCAGATTGTATAATAATAAATAGTATAAAATTGTAATGTTTAATATAATGTATAAGGCAATATATAGTATTGTAATTGTATAGTGAATATGCAGCAGTGTGATATACAGTAGGGTGGATAGAATAATACAGTGTAATATTAC